TGCAGTGGTTGAGACGTAGACGTGCTGAGTACAGCAGAAAGGCCGTTCGCGAGACCAACGCACTTTCTGGGTGATTGTCTCGGTCCAGCAAGAAGACCAAGCTCTCGGTTGACGCTGTTCATACAGATCGTGACTGCTGGCAGTAACTGAAGTGGACACGCAAGCACAAAAGAGCGCAGACAGGCGGAAGCGGTCACCTGAACTGTGTAACTCGGATGCTGCAAGACCTGGAGAAGTGCATCGCGGCAAGAGTCCGCAATGACATTTGTGGCGGATCCCAAACTATTGAAGAGTGAGGACAGCGTGCTCAGTGCCCCGATCAAAGTTTGCTTTGTTGGCTCTGGTCGCTCCTTCAACGCCTGTGGATAGTCTTTCAATATCTCATTAACCAAGAACCTTGCGGCATTGAGCTGGCCAGATTCTCCAAGCATCTCGCGGCCAATGACTGTTTCCAGTATGACGGCAACAAACTTCCTAGTGCTAAGTGTGCGGTAGCGATTCTGTACAATGACATTGTTGCTGAGAATGTCCGTAAACAAGCTGCGCGCGATCTCTGGATATTTGGTCTCGACGATCTGCTCGCCCAGCCCCTTGATGGTCTTGATGTAGCACACGGCAATCCCAGCTCGTGCGCGATTGCCAGCCTGGGGTCGACAGTATTGTGTCGCAAGCAGTTTGAGAAGACTTGCAATGGTGAAGGAGAGTTGATAAGCCGACTTCTTCGGTGCCGGAGACTCTGAGCGCTCCATAACCACATCATCACCGTCGTCATCGCCTGGTTTTCTGTTCTTCTTTTTCTTCTGCGCGGTCGACGAACGGGTAATGCCAAGGATGGGAAGGTCAACTGGCGCGTTCTCAGAGTAGTTCTTCACCAACGCAGCGCTGATGCACGAAGCAACAGCGCGTCTCACGGACGACGAGGGGCTATCGATCGCCTTCCAAGCTACATTCTGCAATTTATCGAAGTCGTTCGAGTTGTCGAAGAAGGTCGTGTGCCGGAGTAGTTGTTCCAGACAGTAGAACACCGCTGTCTGAACAAGGTATGATTTGTCGCTGCCAGCATTGCGCGCCTGCTTCCACGCATCTCTCGCGATGAGTTCATCGGCGTGCGAGCTGACGCCTTTGAAGACCTTGCCTACAGCCTTGAATACGGCCGCTCGTAGTCCAGTATAGTTCTGCGAGAACTTGATGAGTCCCAGCAGCGACTTGACAGCCAGTGGAGATAGCCCTATAGCGCTATCGCCCGCGGCCTCAAAGATGGCGCCCAAGCAATGCACAGCCGCATGCTTCGTCCTAACATCCTTCTCGCTCTTTCCTGCCGCGTTGATTATGCCAACCGACTCGTTGATAGACTCAAACAGCAGCTTCCTGTCTCCCTTTTCGAATATGCCCGCAATTGCTCGTCCCAAGTTGTTTCGGATAACTCGTGTGGGGGCGGGGGACGCGAGGTTGACGATCTGGAATATCTCCTTCTTGATGTATATCTGGTGGGCTGAGGCGCCGTCGCCATCTAAGGAGGCCACATGGCGGGCTAGATCGGAACTGAAGGTCAGCAAGTAGAGGTCTTGCTGTTCCGAAGGTAGCGCGTGGAGCTTCTTGATGTCGAGTTCGGGGTTGGAGGGGCCTTTGTCCGCGGCTGGCTCGTCTGCTACCATGGCTGGTGAGGGGATCGCGTGACGTCGGTCTCGTTATCGCAGTTATCGCGTTCGGCTGCTCATGTCGTAGCGAGTCTTGACGTGACAGATGTCCGGTGTGGAGATGCCGGAGGATGCATGTGGGAGTTGCGGACCCCCGTCTTGGCAGGCACGCATCTCCAACTTTTGTACTATTGCGAGTCGACTACCAATATCAGCCTCCATGTCTATCCCGTTGCGTCGCGCAGTATTATCCGCGTTTTCCAAGGAGAGTGCGACATGCTGCTCCTGTAAATATGTTTCTCGTCCGAGACAGTGGCGCATGCAAGAGCAGGTGCGATGCTTGAGCACCACCCCAAATCTACAATCAGGCCACTCGTACGTCGCCTTCACTATCCAATGGCACATGGCTAACATACCACAGCAAGTGGTCTTCCATCAAACATGACAAAGCCAAAAATGACGCTGGCAAATCCAAGCAACGGTCTATTATGACCCGCGACATTACCAACGCCGTCAAGCTCGGTGGCCCCAATCCCGACATGAACCCCCGCCTTTCCCTCGCAATCTCGACCGCGAAGAAGTCTGCAGTGCCGAAAGCCTCCATCGAAGCCGCCGTAGCCCGCGGACAAGGACTGTCCGCATCGGGTGCCGCCCTTGAATCACTTTTGCTCGAAGCCATCCTGCCACCCTCGGTCGCCACAATAATAGAATGTCAAACGGACAATAAGTTGCGCACTCTAGCCGACCTTCGGCTACTCATAAAAGAGGCAGGCGGCAGCGTCTCCACTGTAGCTTTCATGTTTGAAAAGAAGGGACGGATAATAATACGGAAGAAAGATGGCGTAGGTGTAGACGAGGTCCTAGAGCCAGCCCTTGAAGCCGGCGTGCTAGATGTAGACGAAGACGCCGAGGGACGAGTCGTGTTATACACCGAGCCTGCATTGACGAACAAGACGGCGGAGAGACTGGCGAAGGAGCTAGATGTAGAAATTGAGGAGAGCGAGATCATCTACGATCCTAACGAGGATACCAAGGTGCCTCTAGAGGATGAGGGCGCGGCTAAAGAGTTGGGCAGCTTCTTGGATGAGCTACAGGAGGTGCAGGGTGTACAAGGGGTGTATATGAACTGGACCAAGGGAAGCATAGGAGATGATGTCTGGGAGGACATCAGAGGCAAGGTCACTGCGTGATCTGTCTCTGACTCCCCAGCCGGATGTACATTTTATAGTATACAGTATTGTACAATAACGCCGATAGTGGCGCAGAACGAGCTGCTTCTTCGCGCTTGGTATCTCTCAGCAAATATCCACCACCTCAGCTCGTGACTTCTCGTTCGCTCGTATCCGTGGCTCGGTGCCTGTCATAGGGTGTTGTTCGTGTGCATCCAGCATGCTGTCCCGACATCTCTACTCCTCCTCCCTGCTGGTGCCCAGTTCCCTCAACCTCTCTTGCTCCTCCCTCCTCCTCTTGTTCTCCAGATTCCTCTGCTTCAACCTCTCCAATTCCTTTGCAATCTCGTCTCTGTCGTACGGGATCTTGTGCGTTTGGCCTGGCTTGGGCCAGAAATCGGGAACGGTGAATCTGCCGTCGAGGTTCGTGCCAAAGTAGTACATGGTGCTGATTGGGAAGAGAATGTACATCCCGAACTGAAAGGTCTGGTCAGTGTATGTTCAAGAGTGTTAGGCTCGATTTGGTTGGAGTGCAGGTGGAGTGCAAGTGGAATTATTGGTGTAGTCGCTTTTGACAGAAACGCGCGATGCGCTGTAGGGATGCTATCTACGTACCTTGAACACTTCGAGGTTGGGACCACCCATCTTTGCGGTATGTCGTCGACGTCGTGTGGTATTTGCGGCGCACTCCGGAGACTTTCGCGCTTGAGTGGAGTGATGATGGAGTCGAAGTTTCGCTGATCTGATCGGTGATGGTTCGGCGATAAGAGGCTAGATCTAATCTTCAGCCTTACCTCCGCGCGTTTCCCCACTTCCAAGCTGGGGAAGCCGTGACCTTCACATGTGCCTGCAACTTGGAACCTTGGATATACATCGAATTGGTTTAGTTTCGATATACTCACCCTTTCAATTCGCTTCGCAAGGTTTTGAAGCAGTAATTAGTATCCGCTACACCCTACATCCCTTTGCTGTCGCGCTCGGTTGTCTCAACAATGCCCATCCCGTCTCCGCATTCTAGCCTCGGCTCACTGACATCCCAACTAAGAATCTCCAAGCATTCCAACCAACATAACCAACGTCTCACCCAAGACCACATCCAGCTTAAACACCATAATTAACTCCCCACTCCTCAACTCCTCAACGTTCTCCCCACCACGCAATCCCACCCAACATGTCCTCCTCAGACCCCATTATTACAACCTACTCCGGCAAAACCGCCATAATAACCCTCAACGTACCCAAAAAACTAAACGCCCTCGACTCCGACACCTACTACCTCCTCGCGCGCGCCATGAACGAAGTCGCCACCCGCTCCGACATCTACATCACCATCCTCACAGGCCGGGGCCGTTTCTTCAGCGCAGGCGCAGACGTAACCTTTGGCTCCACCACCGACAGCAGCGCCATCGACGAGCGGCACCAGTACCTAAAGTCCTTCGTATCCAACAACCTGCACATCACACATGCGTTTTACACGCATCCCAAGATACTCATTACGGCGCTGAATGGGCCGGCGGTGGGACTGTCGGCGGCGCTGATTGCGTTTAGCGATTTCGTGTATGCGGCGCCGCATGCGTTTTTGCTTACGCCGTTTAGCTCGCTGGGGCTTGTTGCGGAGGGGAATGCGAGTATTGGGTTTGTGAGGAGGTTGGGTATTGCGAAGGCGAATGAGGCGCTTATTATGTCGAAACGGATTACGTGCGATGAGTTGGTGGCAACGGGCTTCGTTAACAAGGTCATCAATGCTGGGGTTGATGTCAAGGATGAGAGCTATAGTGACAAATTTCTGGGCGAGGTCAGGAAGGAAGTTGAGGAGAGACTGGGTGATCATCTCAACAGCGAGAGTTTGGTGCTTATCAAGGAGTTGATTCAGAAGCCGTATAGGGAGGCGTTGGATCGGCAGGGCGTGGAGGAGGTGATGGGGGGATTGCAGAGGTTTTTGAAGGGCGTGCCGCAGAAGGAGTTTGCGAGGTTGGCCAGTGGAGAGAAGAAGCATAAGTTGTAGGGTTGGTGAGGCAGTGTTGGTAAAAAAAAAAGGGAGATCTACAGAGCGCACTTATCACGAAATAATGTTTGGTAGTAGTAGAAAAGTGGAACGATGAAGGCGTCTGCCACATTTGCCATGGGTTCCGGCATCCACTTGTGGGAGCCATATGGGAATGTGGAAGACGCCTTTCTTGTTATGCTACAGTCTCTAGCCTAATGACACACCCTCCGTAGCCAGCAGCTCTCCACCCAGTGCATCCCCTTGAGTAGGACTCGCAACATCCACAACCGGTCTACTCGCCGTCGTCGTGCCATCCGCCAAATTCTCCAGTGGACTCGGTCGATGCGGCGGGGGTCTGTTTCTCTTCTCCTCCTGTAGCTGGTGCTGCACATAGCTCGTATAGCGTAGCGCAACGAAGAGCATAAACGCACTGACACCGACTGTGATGGCTGCGCGGCGTGTGAGCACCCAGCGGACGCCTTCGACCTCGGATCGCGCGTCTGAGTTGAGCGCAACAGTGATTTTATAGTTGAGTTCTTGGATCTAGAGAACGTTACTATTAGTAGGTTGCGCCGAAGAGAAAATGGGAGGAACATACCTTGGTCTCCATAACCCTCTGTTCCTGCCTTACAGCCATCTTCCTGTCGTCGAAAAGCCCCTTAAGCTCGTCTCTGAGATGTGTCGTCTCTTGTCCTAGTCTCTGCCCCAGGATATCGACCTCGTGTTGCAATTGCCCTCTTTCCGTGCGCATCCTCTCCATCTCGCCTTTCTTCGCGTTGCCTATCTCCGTCTTCAGTTCGCTACACGCGGCTCGGAAGAGGTATGTTTCATTTTCCACGTTACTCTTGCTGACGAGCTCCTTACGCGCCAACTCCATGTTGTCCAAAAGGGTTTGTCGCACGGCTTTCATTATGGTGATGGATTGCTCGGGGGTGTATGAGGACTGCGAGAGCTTGCGCACGAGGCCGTAGGTATCGAAGTGGTGGACATATGGCGGTGTCTTCAGGTGCGGTGCCTTGTGCGACTCTTCTTCAGCGGCGGTGGGGATGTGCAGGACGCTGTCGACGGGTTTTGTATCGCTCTTCTTGGGAGGATCCGGTGCCGGCGTTGTCGGCGGGGTGGGTTCTTCTGTTGCGCTTGCTTGAGTAGGCGTGTTTGGACTCGTTGTTGCTGTTGGCGCATCTTCCTCTACTTCTTCGTGTTCGTGAACGGGGTCTTGCGGGGGTTTCTCATTGGACACAGGCTCCTTTTCTTGAGGCTCTTTTGGGGGCTCTTGGTCCAATGCCGGAGCTGCATGCTCATATGCTTTTCCATATCGCTGTGTGCTCGGTGGCTCCGATCGGCGGGGCGAAGTTGTGAGATGACGTGCTTGTCGCGTGCGGGAGACCGATGGCGATGCACGTTCTTTCGTTATCGACGCGCCTACTCGTGACGATTTGGTTGGCTGAAAGAGCATAGGCCATAGGAACGGCAATCTTGGAGCAGCCATGTTGTCGTGTCGTGAAAGTTGCGAAGTTCGAGCTCGAGGTGGAATCCTCAGATGCGACTTCGGGTATTATAGGCCTTGGCGGGGGATCTGCCATCCTGAAGTGGATATCCATGCCGAAGCACCACATTTCGACATCGGAGGAAAGGCATGATCTCAAACTTGTTCTGTCATGAAAATCTGCACGATGCTGCTGTTACCGCAAGTGTGTATAATGCAATCTTTGAGGTATTCTACAAACACGTAACTCATGATCTTAATTTCTGTAACTCATTACCGAAACATCGGTCGTCTTTCGTCATATACAATATAGTAAAAGCAAACAGAACTTTTTGACTTTGGCCTTCGCTTCACCAGCAACTCCACGCAATGCTAGTACTCAATCTCCTTGTCATGATACCGAAAAATCAGCAAACTTTTGTGAGGTCATGAAACCTCTGGGTATATGTATATGTGTAAGACTTGTCGCAACACCGAAAACAAACAACTTTTGGTCTACAGTATCAAACGTCGTGCGAAGAGCTGCTGATGGAACTGCGACTAGTCCCATCGGTGATATGCGTTGCGATACTCATGCGCTGAAATGGCGAGATTTGGTTTTGTTCGCGAGACGGCGGACTTGACAGCCCCTGACTGCCTGCAGGCGACGAAGGTGGTGGGTGGCTTGGTAGAGCATCATTCGCGCCATAGCGTTCTCGGAGACGCTTGATTTCGCGAAGTCGGTTACGCCAGGACGATATGGAATCGCCACCCTCGCGGATGTACCAAACGCTGGCAAACACAACGGCGTTGATAGCCATGAGGCGGCAGTAGTCTGCCAGGTACTTTCCGCAAAGAATCTTGGTCTCGACGGCAGGGGATATGTCGGGGAACCCTGGCTTTGAGATGGTCTGGATCTTGTAGTAACGATTCCTGCCGTCGGGATCTGCGTCCAATCGACGGTCGACAAAGCTGGCCCTTGACTCTGGAGAAATGACAATATGTACATAATTGAAGGCCGACGGGAACGTGTCGAAGTTGTAAGGTAAGCCAGAGTCGTTGAAAATAATGTTGACAAAGTCGTTGCCGATGTGTCGCTTTTTGTTTGGATACGTCATGTCGTCGTCGGGGTTGGTTGGCATCATTGTAGGAATGTGGAAGACAAGCTCCATGCAGCGGTCCCGCCAAGCATAGGTGAACTCGCCATCCCTGTCTTCGTGTGTGTCGAGACCACCCGTATTGAACTTCGCCCCCTTCAGACGGCATAATGTACCTAGGTCACTAAGGAAAGCAGTATATGCTGGGGATCCCATATCGTTCATAAAAATGTCTCTCTCGTTCGTCTGGCCCTCGCCGATGTAGATGACACCTATTTTGTAGTTATCTACCGTTGCGATACGGTCGAATACAGTAATGGCACGGCGTGTCGGCTCGTCATCGGGTAAGGGAATGGGTGGATTGCTCAGGTCGAGTGGGGCGTAGAATGACTGGAAAATGTCGTCTGGCAGAATGCCGACATATGTGTTGGAATAGAATGCTTGGGAAGCGAGGCCGATAGTGATCGGAACTTGATGTCGTGGTGGCGACGTGATCAAGGGCCGTACTTTGATAAAGCGGGTACCGCACTGCCAGAAGTTAGTAGATGTACTGACAATACACAAGCCGGAAGACTTACTGGCCGACGTGTTGTAACAACAGAGGCACCGGTTCTTGCAGCGGTCTCTATTGTCACAAGAGCATTACCAACGATCCACGTCTTCTTCCAGACTTCTCCATCGCCGGGCTTGAAGGAGCTTTCCTCGCGTGTTGTTTCATCGCGATCTGTATAGGCTACCATGTTCATAATGTCTAGAATGACCTGTCCTTGCTCCTCCATGATTTGCCGTCCGGAGCTATCGGTATAGTGTAGATTCTTTGTGATCCATGGTATCTGCTTTGGGCGGTCCTCCATCTTCAACGCCATGAACCAAAATGTGATGACGTGATACGCTAGGGAATACAGATACTGGGGGAGGTCGTCCTCGACGCTTCTTGGCTTGCTGGTCCCAGGATCGGGCGATGCCGCAAAGTCTCTTGATGCGCCGCTGTGTCGCAATGTCCGATGTCCGCTTTGTAGCGAATGCCCGTTCGCTGTCCGGTCACGCTGGTCGCGTATGTGTTGTAGGTACCGGAAGCATACACCGAACACTAGCTTGAATTCGTCTTCGCGGAAGTTCTTGAACAGTTCTGGAAGTCGAGCCAAGGAGGTGAGGAATTCCAATATGTGTATCGCTGTAGCTGGTTTCGTGATGATTTGCGACATCTTCTGGACGATGCTATCGAGTGACTTGCTGACCGACAGTGGTATTTCGAAACAACAGACTGAAAGTGCGTGGATGCACCATTTTGAGGTTCTGTCCCACTGCACGATCCCTTGTAGGAAGGCCTTCACAAGATCATCTTCCTCGCTCTTCTCGAAGTACTCGTGGTAGCTGATGATGATTGTCAATATATGGAAAAGGCAGACGGCAACATCAGCCTTTTTCAGGAGCGTGTGCGGCGGAGGTTCGTGGAAGCTCGCATTCCGTACTTGTTCGCAGAGAACGTTTCGTAGCATTTTGAGCTGGGCAACACAGCTGCGGACCAACGCCTGGTTGGAGAGCTGAGGCCCAAGATGAACGAGTACGTAGCTGTAGATCTCCCAATCGGGTGGTCTCTGTAAGAGTGAGATGATCAACTCCAGCCACAATGTGATTTCCATGTCTAGGATATCGTCGCTGAGAGGGTATTTCTCCGCATCGATGTGGGAGAAGACGACGCGACTGGAGTCAGATGGCGGTTCCTCGGGAAGCCCTTTGGGGCCAGGGTACATCCACAAAGGAGGTATCGGCTTTGACACACGGCCCGCGGGGGCGTTGGAGCGGCCAGTGTGGCGATTGAGAGAAGAACGGGGACTTGAACCAGAGGTTTTGCGTTGGTCCCGCCACGAAGGATTGTCTTCTGATCTGTTGTGATCAGATGTCGGGCCGTCTTCGAACTTTTCTGGCGCAATAGCTGTTTCCTCTGTGCGGCAGAGCTCTGCGGCAATCCGCTGACCTTCCGATGAAGAGCTGACTATCAAAGCATGGCGAGCGTCGGCGCGCAAACGGAAGAGTAACTTGAGAGCTGTAAGGCGTGCATCATGTGCGTATGCATCTCTTCCAGCGATCTGTCTTAGGAGCTCATAAAGGATGCGTGTCTTTTGGGCCGAATGTGTCACGCTCCGAGTGAAAAGCCGTACATAGGCGGTGGAGACGACATTGCAAGGGGAGCATCCATCTTCTTTGAAAAGAAATTGGTGGGACTGCCATGACGGTAGCGAAGGGGAAGATGCACTCCTTGGGCGGTCCAGACGCCGCTGTAAGACTTGAACAATCTCGAAGAACCGGGCGGTTGATTCTCGATCAGCTACGTAGACCGCGAAATCTACTAGTTCCTGCAGAACTTCAATGTCATCTTCCATTTCAATCCGGTCCAGAAGGAGATCTTCTGACTGCGATACTATCTCGCTGGAACACAGCATCTCGACAGCCTGGTTAGTTTCCCGTAATGATCGGAGCACAAGCAGTCGGAGCGAGCGTGGGCGTGTGGTGTCGTTGAAGATGCCAGCGACCAGTCGATGGCAGAGGTCAAACCAGCCGGCGTGGGAAGGATTGAGGTAGCGTCCGTTTACAAAGTACTCTATCACTCGCTCCACGGTCGCGTCGCTTACACGATGTGAAAGGTGCAAGAAAAGCTCCATGACACTCTCGCGTTGAATAAAGTCAAGCGCGTCGCTAATGTGATCTAGTTTGACCAGCACCTGGTAGATGCCGTCCTCTGGATCACGTCGGAAGAACTCCCGGTGAGTTGTTGCGTCTCTTTCATGGGACCCGAGGACATCATTGGCATGCTCTGCTCCGCCTTGAATTCGTCAGTAAGGGGAACCCTGTGGTTGAGTGTACACGTACCAGCATTGGACAGATTGTCTGCATGAGGTGATATTTGTCTTTCAAGGGCGTCCTTCTTTGCAGCGCTTGCATGGTCTGTTGATCTGGATACTCTAGCGCTAACACGCTCGTCGTCACGCTCGGCGCACACACGTATGACTTGTAGCATGTCCCCCAAGTCGCTTTCAGCAAGCAAGAGATCCCTCATGCCTTCTTGGGCTAGAACCGCATCTATCAGACTTATGATTATCTGCTCTTGGTCGGTGCCTGGTGTCTTGATTGAAGCTTTTAGGGCTGGGAAGAGCAAGGACATGGGGACCTTGGGCAGCTCGTTGCGACCATCTTCCAAAAGCAGAAGGCGCAACACCAAAGTCGTGCCCCTGTACATGCTGTCGAGCTTCTTCTTAAGACTCTCGTTTTCCAAAGTCTCCCGGGATGGGCCGTCCAAGAGCAGATGCAGCAATTCAGAGATGGCAGCTTGTCCGACATGGGACTTGAAAAGGTTGCTCAGCGTGTTCCAGGCTTGATCCTGGAGATCGGTGATCCTCTTATGGATTTCACACAGAACTTCGAGACAGGGTCGCAGCGATTGCTTGGGGATATGCACATAGGTGATGATTGTATCGAACAGCTTGACGCCACATTCCACATCGGGGCGATGAGTGGTGGCCCTGCAGATGGAGACGGTCCGTCGAACCAGGAGGTCCAGATCGTCGTCGGTGAAGACTTTGGCATTGAACTTGCAAATATCCGTGGCGAATTGGAAGGCGCGGAACATGTTGGCTACTTCTGGAGGAGGATTGGCAGCACTTCTCTTGCCGTTGGATTTGCCCCTCAGACCTCGGAAAGCATCGCAACTGGCTTGGAAACAGCTGTCCAGGGATGTCAGGATGAAAGAGACCATGCCCGACTCGCAAGAATCAATATTGCGCCCATCGTTGGTGAGGGTGGCGATGACGTCGAGTCTTCTGTCGAAGTAGCGATCGTTCTTGCGCAGACAGGCGGCGTCGAAGAAGAGAGTGCGCTCGATGCTGGCCAGGTCGGAAAGCGATGCGCAGCTCTTGAGAAGCTTGTACCCCGCCTCTGCGACATCGTCTGGCTGCTCGGGAAGGAGCAAGTCACTTGCGACCGACCACAACGCCAGTATGTTCTGCACCGGATACGCCTCGAGAATGTCGCATATCTTGTCCACGGCCACGACGCGCTCGGAAAATGGGCGATTGCGCTGCAACTGGTCGATCAGGTCATGCAGCTCGGGGGGACCGCCCGTTACAGGCTTGCCCGTCCGCTGGCCTGTGACCTGGCTGATGCGCTGGAGGGTACCATCGGCTGAGTGCGGGCTAGGGATGGAGCCGGGACGGATGGTGCCCAGCGAAGGTGTGCGCGCAGGCGTGCTGGTGGCGGACGAGACTGAGGGCGGCGGCGTCGGGCTCTTCAGACGGCCGCCGGTCAAAGAGCGGAAGGCCGTGAAGAGCGCCTGGGTGGAGGAGCGGCGGTCGGGCGTGTGGGGGACATGGTCGGCCGGCGGAGACATGCGTCGGTTGAGGCGGCGCAGATGGGGTTTGCCTGGTGGAGAGTGCAAAGGCTCGACGACTACGGCGGAGAGGGCCCAAGAGGAGATCTAATCGAGTGACGCAGGCGCATCGAGTCTATCACGGGTGCTGGGCGGCGGAGAGGCGGGGCGGCTGGGGGAGCCCATCTGGGGGTGGAGGAGGAAAGGAAGGGGTCACGCCTGGCGGGAAGGCAGCGTCGTAGCGGACTCGAGCTTGCTAGACAGCAGCACGGCATCCAGAAATCGCGAGCAGTCGTCGCCGGGCAGGGCTGGGGTCATGGACCTGATCCCTGCACTCGTTCGACAGGCCCTAGCGCCCCAAGTGGGACACCCCAAACAGCAACCATCGGCCAAACAGTCGAGCTCTCTGTCCACCAGCCACCCGTCCACTCTATTTGCACCTCTACGTCCCTCACCATGGCTGCTGACATCGCTACCCTCTCGCAGCTGCTCCAGGCGTCGCTCGACCCGCGGCAGAACAAGCAAGGTGCGTAGCAGTGTTTCCCGCAGTGCTCATGTGGTGTAGCCTGCATTTCTGGGAAGAGAATGCGCGTACGCAGGATAGAGAAAGACTAGCCTCTGTATACCTCAGTATATGCGCATTCGTCTTGGATCCAGGCTAGCATCCTGCCCCTCCATCCCCCACACCACGCAGCATGCAATGCTAACTTTTCACAGCGGAGGCCGCAATCTCCCAAGAGCAGACCAAGCCCGGCTTCTCCCTCTCTCTCCTCCAGATCGTCGCCTCGGACGCGAATCCCCAGACGACCCGACTGTCGGCCGCCCTCTACTTCAAAAACTTCGTCAAGCGGAATTGGGTCGACGAAGATGGCAACTACAAGCTGCCCGAGGCCGAAGTCGTGGCCATCAAGAGAGAGCTCATTGGCCTCATGGTATCCGTACCTGCCAGTCTGCAAGCACAGCTCGGCGAGGCCATTAGCGCCATTGCCGACAGCGACTTCTGGGAGCGATGGGACACCCTAGTCGACGACCTCGTCTCGCGCCTCACTCCCGACAACACGATCGTCAACAACGGCGTACTGCAAGTCGCACACTCCATCTTCAAGCGCTGGCGGCCGCTGTTCCGCTCCGACGACCTCTTCACCGAGATCAACCACGTCCTGTCCAAATTCGGCACTCCTTTCCTCCAGCTGCTCGAGAACACCGACGCCCTCATCACAAACTCCCAAGGCAACCCCGAGGTCCTCAAGAGCGCCTTCACAACGCTAGATCTCCTGGTCAAGCTGTTCTACGATCTTTCTTGCCAGGATCTGCCCCCTGTCTTCGAAGACCACATCGGAATCATCTCAGGCCTTCTCCACAAGTACCTCGTCTTCGACAACCCCGCCCTACACACCGATGATGACACAGAGTCGGGGCCGCAAGAGTACGTGCGCGCGGGCATCTTCGAGGTGCTCATGCTCTACATTCAGAAGTACGAGGACGCGTTTGGGTCGCACCTGGGTCCCTTCATCGAGAGCACCTGGAGTTTCCTCATGTCCGTTGGCCTCGAGACGAAGTACGACATCGTGGTCAGCAAGGCGCTACAGTTCCTCACCGCCGTCGCATCCACACAACACGCCGAAGCCTTCAACAACGAGTCTGTCCTAGTCCAGATCATCGAGAAGGTCATTCTGCCAAATCTTACTCTGCGAGAGTCTGATGTGGAACTGTTCGAAGATGAGCCGATTGAGTTTATCAGGAGAGATCTGGAGGGATCCGACAACGATACGCGTCGACGTGCTGCCACTAATTTCCTCCGTAAACTCATGGACCGCTTCGAAGGACTTGTCACGACTACTTCCCAGAAGTACATCGACGCCTATCTCCAGAATTATGCGGCCGACCCCCAAAATAACTGGAAGTCAAAGGATACCGCAGTCTACCTCTTCACCGCCATTGCTGCCAAGGGAACCGCCACCGCTGGCCAAGGTATCATGAGCGTCAACGAGAACGTCAATATATTCGAGTTCTTCCAGACACATGTCGCAGCTGACCTTCAGGCTCAAAACGTATCGCCTATACTGAAGGTTGATGCTATCAAATTCCTGTACGTCTTCCGCAGCCTGCTATCACCAGACCTTTGGCGCGCTGCTTTTCCCCTGCTCGTCAATCAGTTGGGCAACGACAATTACGTCATCCACACATACGCTGCCATCGCTGTCGAGCGTGCTCTGTACATGACAGACGACAAACGGCAGCCCATAATACCCAAGTCAGACGTTGTTGGCTCATCGAAAGACTTATTGACGCACTTGTTCAAGCTTATCACAATGAGCTCTGCCCCGGAAAAGATTCAGGAAAACGAGTTCTTGATGAAGTGCGTTATGCGCGTACTTATTTTCATACGCGATGATGTCCTGCCCATATGCGAGTCGATTCTTCAAAGCTTCATCAACATCGTCAAGGTCATCAGGCACAACCCTAGCAACCCCCGCTTCCAGTACTACATGTTCGAAGGTATAGGGGCACTTGTCCGCTTCTGTGCCCCAAAGAATCCTCAGTTCTTCGAGGAAAAGCTTTATGAGCCCTTTGCAACCTGCTTGCAGAACAACGTTGAGGAATTCTCTCCGTATATATTCCAAATCTTCGCCGCGCTACTAGAAGCAAACCCTTCAGACCAACTGAGCGAATACTACAGGGGTGTATTTGGCATCATTCTCAAGGGTGCGGTCTGGGAGCAGCGTGGTAACGTCCCTGCGTTAGCCCGACTGTTGAGTGCAATGGTTGCTCGCGACGCACAAAACATCGTGGCAAGCAGCCAATTGGAGCCTATTCTAGGTATCTTCCAGAAGCTGGTCACTAGCAAGGCTCACGAGACATACTCGTTCGAGCTGATTGAAGCTGTCGTTGCGCACATCCCAGCGGATGCGCTACAACCCTACTTTGTCACCATCCTCCAGCTGATGCTTACAAGACTGTCGAACATGAAGACAGAGAACTTCCAGCAGCGCTTCATTGCGTTCTACCACTTCGTTTCAGCGCGACTGGACAAGGGACTTGGTGCCGACTTCTTCATCAAGGAGTCTGATAAGGTTCAGGAAGAGTAAGTCAATTAGTTCCGAGATGTGGAGCGTCAATTGCTAACTTCACGACAGCATCTTCAAGCCTATTTACTTGACTGTCATTCTTCCCGACACCCAGAAGCTTGCCCGCCCAACCGACCGCAAGACTGCAGTTGTGTCGTTCACCAAGTCTCTGGGCGATGCGGAAGCCTTCGTTAGCCGTTACCCCAAGGGTTGGGCCCTTACCACACAGCGCTTGATCGAGCTACTGGTCAACCCGCCTATGCCCACCTCCGCAGATGACATCATCCCCGATGCCGATGTCGACGAGCTCGGTTTCGGTGTCGGCTTCACCCAGCTGAACACCTGCAAAAAGGCTCCACGTGATCCCTTCCCGGACATCACCGATGTGAAGGCATGGGTAGCTGAATATCTGAAAGATGCGGATGCACGTCACGGCGGCCGTATCGTCAAGATTGTGCAAGAACGTTTGGACGATGTTTCGAAGCAAGCTTTGGCTGCTTACTTGAGCTAGAGCAACGGGCATTTTTAAGAGGCGCTCTAGAAGATATGAGAGGGCAGGTGTGCATGATAGCATGTGGGGTTAGGCGCAGGTAGAATAGTGGAGCCGGCTTTCTAGGATTTAGGACATGATACCAGGTAGAGAAAAAGTGGTGGATATTTTCCCATGAAGGAACAAACAAAGCTGAATACATTTCGCAATCGCACAGCATGTGCACAACCAAATCACGCGTCTTGCACCTCATAGCTAACCTTGGTAATCCCCTTCTGCCTCTTAATATTCCTCACAACAACCCTCCCACACTCCTTCAGCTTCTGCACATGCGTCCCGCCACACGGATAACTCCCCTCTTCCCCTATCTCCACAACCCTAACGCCATCCTCTTCATCTCCTTTCAGCGTATCCATAACCCCAGTGCACTCCTTCTTCGCCTTTTCCTCGTCCCAGAAATGGATTTTGACGTCCATGTCCGCGGCTACCATCTCGTCCACTATTGCTTGGATTGCAGCTTTCTTGTCTCCCGGGATGAGGCCTGAGAACTCTACAAATGCGGCACCGGGGTAGTGCGACGCTTTTCCGTCGACGACGTCGGGAGCAATTGAGCCTGTGGTTTTTAGATGGGCGACGGCGAGACCGATGACGTGGCCGGCGGTGTGGATGCGGGAGTGTAGGTGCCGTTTCGAAGTGTCGATCTTCTGTTCTGTTTCTGCTTCTCCGTTTGCATCGAATTTCTTGTCAGAGGGAGAGAAGACGCCCATGTGCAGGATCGCGGGATCGACTTTGCGGACTTGGTGCACGTGGAATGTTGTGCTGCCCGTGGAGATGGTGCCAGTGTCGGAAGGTTGGCCGCCGCCTTGAGCGTGGAAGATGGTTGAGGGGGTGGTTAGGACAAAGGGTTCGGTTTCTGGTGGTGGTCTGAATAGAGATTGGGTATCTGCGGGTAGGGATGACAGGGCGTGGATGGAGGTTATGGCGGAGGTATGGGTGTGTTTTTGGCCGTCTTTCTGGTAGAGGGGGTCTGTTCTTTGGGATAGAGGGTCTTCCATTGTGGTGATTGGCCGAGAGGTATCAGAGATGAAATTCGTAGTGGTTCTATCGTAGGTGCGGCGGGCTGATGATGCCTGTTTCGGTGTTTGTGTTGCAGTGCCGCGGAAGAGGATTGCGCACGCTGGATCCTTGGAAAGTCGACAGTACATGCGACGTTTTATGCTCGCCTGCTGCGACGGATGTTGAATTGAGTCACTTGAAATTATGGAGGGCCTAACAGCCAATAGAATGTTCCTGATACTTTGGAAGCGTAAAGTACGGGTCAGAACTACGCCCTTGAGGTCTACATGCGCTTTACCGCTTTAGGCAGGTACCAATTCCTGTCCTGACGTCTTCTCTTTTTGTACCTGAAACAAGAACGTAGCATATGGATGTAACCATTCAAATTGCAGAGACTCATGAATTATTGTATTACATCCTCAATCGCCGCAGTGAGAGGGGGTAGCGACAAAAGGTGCTGCGTTGATGATACCGTTACCAAGACCTGTTCATCTTCCGACTTCGGAATCTTTTCGTCCACAGAACTCTGCGTCCTCAAGCGTCTTGATAGTCATAAATCACGTTCCACCATTGGTTTTCAGCAATCAGACCATCCAAAGCAAATATGGCCCCCCATGGGAAGACGCGCCGTATGCCCGCTTCTTCACAATGCTGCTGCAGGATATCTTGCAAGTCGAGCTTCGCACCCCACTTCCGCGCCATCACTCCGATAGCCAATGGCTTCATGACTATGGTGGCCTCAAAAGTCCGGTTGTCGTTTGCGCTGCCGGACAGACTCGTGTAAGGGCTCAAGAAGTCGATCGAGGTGTATGGGAAGAAGGAGCACTCTTCCCAGGCTTTCGTCAATAGCCCTCTTGAAGTTTTCGCTAGTCGGTCTATCGTAACTGTCTCTTTATTCCAGTGGGCGTTTGTACGAAACTGATAGGTCGAGCGGCTACGGCCAGTGGTTGTTGGGGTGACTAGTTTGCTCCGCATCGAGTCGCCTGGTCCGCCGTACTCATCGCATTCTGAGTGCACCGACACAAGAATTCTTTTGTCAGCGAAGAGCCTCTCGATGAAAGCATCAACACAGTCGATGGAGATTTTTCGATGCAATGTCGGTAGCATGAAGTGCACATAGGGGCGTTGCCGCTTCTGGTACCAGCCCTTGCCGGCAATGAAGGTGCTGGACTTCTCGAAAGGTTGAGAGCCGCATGTAAGAATGCCGTACTCATGTAGTTCGATTAGTCCATGTAAGATCGGTGCAGTCTCTTCGTCGAGAGGACCAAGATGGCCTGGATTGACGTCAATCTTCCCATGAAGAAAGCTCAGGTTCCTGAAGTTGGTATTTGGCGTCAGTGTACGTCTCACATGCAGCTTCTGCAGCATTACTCACAGACATAAGAGAGATTCCCAATCCGGAGCAGACTCCCACTGGTCATTGCGTCCCTTCCAACGGCACCTTCTGCATAGGCCTAGTTCGCTTGATAGGCCAGCATAAGGTATGAGTATGAGACCCCCATGGCAATCGAGGTTAGTCGGCTTATCACAGCTCGTGCATGCAGCCATCGCAGGTTGTTGTTGCGAGACTGTCACTCGATCAAGGTGAAGGGAAAGAGAGAGAAAGAGAGCTGTTATTGAGTCAAGTGGACGCACATTCGCTTGTTTATCTACCCTCACGTGTTGATTGTGTCACCAATGACGCAGGCAGACACTTCCCCATTCGTCGGCCCTCGCTTCCTCCATCGCCATCGCACTTTATCTCACCTGCGCATGCCACCTCCCCTAACCCCAGGACGCAGAAACCAAGTAGTGAACAGGAAGCCGCGACGATGCACACCGGATGAATCTGAGAACGCGACAGCCTTAGGAAAGATACTTGGTAGCCACCTCGCGCCTCAAGGTCGCTCGATCATAACGCTGGCCGCCCTCATTTGACCAGTGAGCAACCACAGGGCTCTGCGGCTTCCACCCCTCAAGGATGTCGCCCGAATCAACCCGGCTGGTTTCCTGGAGAGTCTTGTTGGCTATCGGAGTGTCTTTGTCGAGGTTCGAAAAGTTATCGCGCTGTAGGGGCCTAGTCGAGAAAGCTTTGGAAAGCCTGGGGTTGAGTGGAGAGGGAGACTGATGGGCAGACGGTACGGATTGCCGAACGCGAGGTCCTAGGGGTTGTTTAACCCGGAAAGGTGAGCCTTCGATGTGCGCGTTGACAGGACGGTGATCATGAGGTGCTAGTTTGCGCATGATAGGTGTCTCCTCGCCTGAAAATGTTGAGGCACGCGGAGTCGATGGTTGATGTTCGTCGCCTTGATATCCCTCGCCATCAATGTCCATCGCGTCCGCCACTTCGCTCTCGGGCCAGTTCTGCTCGGACTTTGAAGCTGCGGTAGCCTCCGAGTTCTGATTTAGGATGAAGAGCCAGATCGAAGCGCATAGCAGTGTCGCCAGGAAGAGGGTATAAGCCTGCCCATTGGGGTCAAGCACCCAGTATTCCAGACAGCTTCCGCGGAAGAGATAGGCGAAGAAACCTTTGGATGAGTCGATAGTGTCTTGGACGAAGCGCTCGAGACGAGTAGGCGGCTCTTGATTGATAAGAAAGCCTGACATGGTGTTATGAGACAGCAGTCAATTCTTGGTGATCAGATCAAGTGGTGAGAATTAGACACAAAGATCAAGTAGTCGGAAGTTGTAGGCGACCGCGAGCGTTTGTTATGATGTACGGCGCGTGAGTGCCGCACGGCCCTATCAAGTGAGTGAATCAGTTGTTTCTTGATTCTTGTCCATGTCTCATGTGATGGAAATCTGTGATTTGCCACGTAGTTGCTGTGACAACAAATACATTCTTTCAACGCCCTTCAGTGATAACGTCCCAAACTTCCAAACATCGCAGTACTATGGCGACGTCTTGATCTCCGACAGTTTTCCCGTGCAATATATAGACCTTAGATCTGCCCCAATAGAGTCGCATATTGCTGCCAACACCCTAGCTCCAACCAGTCTTCCCAAACGCCGCATTCACTGGCGGTCTCTTTGACTGTGGCCGTGGTAAAGTGCTTGTAGGAACATTGAACAGCGGTCTCCGCACTGGAGGCACCTCTTGTGGTCTTCTTGCTCCAAATACCCGCTCCTCCACGAATGGCTTCTCCATACCCTCTTTCTTCCACCTTTCCTGGACCCGGTTGAACTCCATACCTGGTGGAAACATGGGAGTCTCTTCGCGCCTGTGTCTGTAGGGGGGCGACCTGAAGATCTCGGCGGGCTTGGATGTACGCTGTCGGCGGGCGAAGAAACAACCAAGCCGATACGAAGCGCCGATGCTGACTGCCAGAAAAAGGGCGTGGAAGAATTGGGGGTGTTTATCGTAAAGCGCGAAGGAGGCAAGGACGACTCCAGTCTTGAGCTCCAGCCACACCAAGAACGCGAGGATGAGGGCTCCGATGTTTGGCAGTAGTTGCTTGGCCGGTTCGAGCATTGATCTCAAAAGGCCATGAGATGACGTGCGCATCCAGAGAAGGGACATTGTAAAAATGGGTTGAGGAGTATATAAGTCTGGCCGCAGGTGGACATTTAAAGAATGCCTGCGGAAGCAACGAGAAAACAGATCTTTCACTAGAGCCGTGAACTTGCTTTCACTGGACAGTAAAGGTCCATCTAGCAAAGACCAATTCGTCATCTCCGGATTTTGTCATGAACTGTCACAATGCTCTCCTACCCTCTAGTAACTCCAACATCCCTCTACAGTCCCACTATACGTACACGTCTGCACTGCAGTTTGCCAGTACACCGCTACCACAATGTCTGACCAACAGAATGACATGGTGCTCAATCAAATCATCGTTTCACTCTTCCTTCTTCACATCGTTCATTCCCGGCTCAAGTACGCGCACCATGGCTCCCATTCCACGCGATCTTGAGCCAAATGCCATAGACCATTTCTTCGCTGTTATGATGGGACTCGCCATTGCGTTGGTGGTGCTGATCTTCATTGTTATAATCAGATATGAGATGCGCAATGCCTCGTACGTACGAAGCCGATTGCGGGCTAGGAACAATGATTGGTTTGCTGTTAACTATGGGACATATGGGCGTGCAGGGCATGTGGATTCTGATGGGGCAAGTGTTGCTGGTGAAGGGGTAACATGAGCCATGGAATGAGGTTTCTCTGTGTGGAGGAGTAGTCTTGGGCGCGATGTATGTATCGAGGTACGTATGATGCTTTGGCATCTCAATCATGTATATGAAGGATTTGTCTAGTTTCGACCATGATCCCATGTGCTCTGTCGTGGAGTCGTTTCCATCCTCCTTCACTCTCATCGTCCCTGTCTACGCGGATCGGGAGCGTAGAAGCCTGTAGTCGATGTAGTGGTTGTCATTCTGCCTGGCTCCACCTCGGCACCTCCTTTGCCCGCACTCTCACTTCCAACCGCAAGAGTAGACATTACGCTAGCTAGCGACTGGCCGCGCGGTTTGGTGGGCGCGCTGGGAGCGCTCATGCTTCCCGCGCTCGTTTTTGTACCACTCTGAGCCACTTTATCTCCCTGTGTCGCATCCGGTAGCTGCTGACCGCGCTGCACCGGTGACCGCGAGTTCTTAGGCGGAGGAAGAGCACGATACCGCTTCCTAAGCTCCTTAAGCCCAAGTTCGGTTGTAGCAATCATCTCTTCTTCTGTTTCCACGGCAAGCTCGAGTTCATTCCATAGCTTTTGGACCTCTTCGTCCGGTTGTGAGCTTTCGTTGCCTCGACCCTCCGGTATCCTAATCGGGAAGAATTCGGGTTGTGGCTGGGGGTTCTCGTCGGGGTACATGGGCGATCGGGGTGGCGCGCCCTCGACGTGGGTATACAATCCGACACCTGTTATGTAGGGGGTTGTACCGGGCGGGCAGGTGCTCTTGAAGGCGGAGATCAAGTCGGCGTTCATGCGGGCTTTACGAGCCTCTGCCACGTCGGGTGGGAGAGGCGTGCTACTTGTGGGTGGCTTCTCGAATACCGGTGGGTTAGTGGCATTCTGCTCACGCGCGG